GCTTCAGCTGGAGGGATCCTCCAAATGCTCCCACCCAGAGTGTGTCACTCCCTCACTGAAAAATCTTCCATCAGGCCAAAATTTCAAGTCCTTATAGTAACACACTGTTCTACCCGTGACCTTTACTGCTTGGCTCCTTGGACCGTTCTATCCAGCCAAGCAGAATGCATGCAGTTCCCAAACATTCACACGTTCCATCACATTGCCAGACCTTTGCACATGCTGGTTCCTCCAGGAGTACTTTCCAGTCCACCCTCCAGCCTCTCCTTTCTGACTCAGACATCTGCTCCTCTGGATGCTGGCCTGGAGCCCCCAGCACGTTCCTGCCTTGAGCCCCACTGTCCATCCTGGTGCTGCTGGCTTAGTAACCTGCCGCCCCTCCTCCACCTTTCCTCAAGAACACTAGTCGACGTGTGTTCATTTCTCGGTGCTTAGAACCCAGCTTAGCCCGTGGCACAATGCTGAACTACTAAGTGACCGAAGTATGAAGGAGAAAGGAATTAAAAATGGTGTTGCCCTGCCAAGTGCAGCTCAGTTAGTCGGGCATCATCCATGCACTGAAAGGTTGCTGGTTCAGTTCCTAGTCAGGGCACATGCCGGGGTATCAGGCTCGATCCCTGGTTGGGGGATGCAGGAGGCAGCAGATCAATGTTCTGTTCACACATTGATGTCTCTCTCCCTTTCCCATCTTCTCTCTCTTAAAAAAAAAAAAATCAATAAAAAATATTTTTTTAACAAAAGGTGTTTACAATGCTTTCATAAACAGTTTAAGCTCAGCACTTGCTTCTAGGATGTCAGGTATAGAAATTAACCATGGAGGGGCAAAAGGGAACTTCCTGGGGTCCTGGTAATGTTCTATATGTTGAGAGAGGCTTAGTTATTCATTTATCAAAATCTCATTGAATGGTAATAAGATTCAGCAATGTCACTGTATGTAAATGTTACTTTAAAAATAACCCCTATAAACAGTGAATTCTAGCTAATGATTTGCACGGTGAAGTGCTGGGGTGAAGGACACTAATGTATTTCAAAGGAAGTTTCAAATATCAAAAAATTAATGGGCTGGCTAGCTGGAAACATGTGATAAAACAAGTTTAGCAAAATGTTCACTGTAGAAGCGAGTTGGTGGATAGATGAGTTCTCCCTGTGCAAGTCTTTCAAGTTCTCTGTAGGTGTGAAATGCTCATAGTAAAATGTTGGGAAAGAGATGTTTCATATTTATGGACCTGGCTAAAAATACGTCTTACTCCAAATGAGCTGAGAGGTTCTTGGTTAAGGTTCTCCAGTGCATTCCAGCCATGAACCCCCAGGACCTTGTTGGAAACTGAGTCAGCAGGGCTCAGGAGGCCTGAGATGCTACATTTCTAATGCTGCTGGGCTGACGGAGGACCCCACTTTGAGAAGTGAGAGTCTACCACATGATCACGGGGGACCACAATGCCCCCGCTGCATATATAAAGCCCCTCCCCTGACCCCAAGCAGCCTCAGGGCTAGCAAGATAAACGGAGCAGAGGTGGGGACAGGCAGGAGCCTCAGCCATGCTCAGCTGCCTGAGGACAGAGGGAAGCAGCCCTGCCAAGAGACCTGGGCCAGAATAGACATCTGAGTCATGCAAGGGGCAGCCGGCAGGGTGACTCAGCAGAAGGGAGCCTGGGGAAGCCAAGTGCTGCCAGCTCCCAGGCCTCGCCTGACCCTGGCCACCTCAGGGCTTGGCTGACTGCTCTCTCTGAGGACAGGCGACAGCAACTGCTGCTGTGAGGACAGGAGAGAGGCAGGGGTTGGACTCTCCCATCTTTCAGGCTCTGCTGTGATACTGGCTCTGAGGGAGACAGAGGGACAGGCACAGAAGGTACCCAACAGCGTCCCCCTTCTCAGATCCGGGGCAGGGAGGAGGGTGAAGCGAGCATCAAGTGGAGCCTCAATCCATTTTAAAGATGAGGACACTAAGGTCCTAAAAGGAGGGGCAACTGGTCCAAAGTCCCCAATCTCAAAGTCAGGTGATCTGCCTCCCTGCCTCCATCTCAACTGTGGTTCCATCGTTATTTGCTTGCTAACCTGCTTAACGGCTGTCCTCCCGCCACACCCCTCAGCCCCCCAGACCAGAAGCTTCCTAAGGGCGCACGGCAGACAGTATTTTCCAAAGATGGCCAGACATTATCTGCCATCCCACTCGCTGGTCTCACAATGAGACCCGGCCATCCTCCTCTAGAGGTGGGTCTGCGTCCCCCCACCTTGCTCCCAGGCAGACTTCCGTGATTGCTTCAATCAAAAGAGTAGGGCAGGAGTGACCCTCTGTGACTCTGGGACTGGATCATAAAAGGTGGCACAGCTTCTACATGGCTCCCTCTCCAAACACACGCCCACCCTGCTGTGAGGACGCCCAGGCCACTCAGGGAGATACGTGAGGCCGTCACGTGTGGCCAAGGCTCCAGCCAGGGGCCTAATGCACTGCCTGGAGTGTGAGCAAGGAAGCCAAACTCGGGCCCTACAACCATCTGACTGCAATTTAGGAGAGTCCCCTGGTGAGATCTACCCAGTGGAGCTGGTCAACGCCCATGGCGGAGATGCAATAAACCAAGGCCAGGGCGGGTGTGATGAACAGATACCTGTAGCAGGGCATGAACGTATCTGTGTCACACACTGTTGCATCCCCGGAACTAAGCACCATATACAACAGATGCTTAACGAGTGTCTGTTGAAGGGATTAAGGGACCCAGGTGGGATTAAAGTACAGGTCTGCCCAACTCCAAAACCAGGCTCCTCTTCCATCACACACGCTGCCTCCACATCAGACTTAGGGTATAAGGTAGGACCTAACAGCCCACTTCTCTGACCTTCGATTCCTAAAACAGAAAAACAATGACTGGGGAGAAGAGTCGGGGTGTCCTGGCCCCCCGCAGCCCAGCCTCCAGCTGTTGGAGCTGAGCAGGTCGGGCCCCAGGCCCAGGCTGCCGGGAACAGAAAACACAATGGGAGGAGGAAGTCAGCTCTACGGGCCACCTCCCTGCACACACGCCCAGGAAAGAAGTGAAAGGAGCTTGAGCCAGATCCCCAGAGGGGACCAAAAACCTGAAATTCCCCTGCATCAAGCACCCAAGACGGCCCACTGTGACAGGACTGCTTCTCAGCGCCAAGGTGGCCTGGCAGGCAGGTGATGCCCATGTCAGCCCACCCGGGCTCAGTCTATCCTCCGAGGAGCCCAAGGTCTGCAGCCACTCGGAGGGGTGTGCCTTGTTCGGTGTGATTCTCAGGCCAGACCCAACAGAACAGCCTGATCAAGAAATGTTCCCAGATGGGGACACTCTGCAGCGCCCCCCCACACACACACACTGAGAACCAGCAGACACACAGCCAGAGACGTCTGAGCCCCTCCTTTGTGCCAGGCGTGGGCTGAGATCCAATGGGTGCTGCAGGCATGGGTGCTGCCTCTGTGACCCTTACACACACAAGAACACACTAACACACAAACACTTACACACACACACACACACACACACACATAAACACATGCACACGTGCACAAAACGTTTGTATAAACACACAATTTGTTCGCTTCTCCAACCTGGCTCCTCCTTGAGCAGGGAAATCCAAGAATGGGGTCACAGGTTTCAACCTCCTCCTCTGTGCTGCTGCCCCCACAAGTCCCTCCATCACTGACAGCCTCGGCCCTTTGCTAAGGCTCAGGCCAGACCCAACAGAACCATAGCAGCTGAAAACTGTTCCTGCTGCAATTTCACCCGTTAACAACTACTGACCATGAACAAAGCATCAAATAAATGCTCCAAAGTCTTCCTGTTCCTCTCAGAATAAAATCCACACAGCCCATCAGGCCAACAGACAGCTGTCCCCACCTCTCAGACGGCACCTCTCAGCTCTTTCCTGACTCTGCTGCTCCAGCCACACTGGCCTCTCCACATTACAAAGCAGCTCCTGCCCCAGGGCCTTTGCGTCTGCCACCACTCTGCCTGGCACACTCTTTCTCTGGGTATTTGCTGGGTTGGCTCCCTCCCTCCTATAGGTCTCTGGCCCAGTGAGGTTTCCTGAGGGAGGCCTTCATGATGGCTCCCCTAAAACTGCACACAACCCCCAACCATCATCTCCATCCCCTTTCCCTGCTTTTTTCTACTTAGCATTTGCCACCACCTGATAGACACGTGGGTCCTGGGTGACTGTTTGTCCCCACCCATGACAACCTAAGCCTCCAATGGACAAGAACTCTGCTTCGTTCACTGCTACAGCCCTGTGCCCGGATCAGAGCCTGGCCCTCGGCACTAGCTAGAAGTGGGGAAGAAGAAAGGAAAGGAGAGGAGGAAAAGGGAAGGCAGAGAGGATAAAGGGAGGAGGGGAGGGAGAAAGAACAGAGGCAAGGGTGACAAATGACTATGCTCCCTTTTACTCTCCCAGCAGGAAGAGTGGCCATCTCCACCTGCCCAATGACCTCTTTCTGCACAGACAGGACTTCCCTCAAGCTGACAGGACAGACCAGGTGTCTCCAACGCGAATCCCTCAGGGGCCAGGCGCGCACCTAGATGAAAGAAGTAAGACCATAGTGCAACAGGGGAGTGGTGGGGACTGCGGTCGATGAGGGCCGCACTCCTCGGCTCCGGCCAACTGCTGCCATGTGACTTAACGACCCTGACACTGCCTGAGCTCCTCATTTTTTCTAGAAAACCTGGACACTGAGAATTTATGGGAAACTTCCTGATTTTTAAATGTTTGCTCAGATGTTGTAAAATCACTATGCCAACCAAATGAGAAAACTACAAAGGCCTGCAAGACACAGCAATTTACAAGTAGGAATCAGACTCTGTCCTCAGGCTCCTCTGCCCCAGCCACGCCTGCGGCTCAGTGTTGCCAAGCCACGTGGGGAGGACACGACAGCCTGTCTTCGGGCATTTGGGAAAACAGAATGAGATCCCAGGTGGATGGCACTGGTGCAGAACACGTGTCCAACCAACATTAGCTAGCACTTTCTCGAACACAGTTGTGATCACACTTACGGGGTCGTTGACGGTTTCAGAGAACAGGGGCGAGCGGTCTGAGAAACAGGACAGTATGAGCTGAATCAGCACGAGGGAGAAGTACATGTAGAAAGTGACATCACGAAACACGTCGACTTTGGTGTCCTAAATGTGAAGGAAGGAAGAGGGAGAAAGTCACTTTCTGGAAGCGGGCCGCAGAAGCACCCCCACACACACGTTATCACAAGAGAGGTGGTTCCATCACAGGGTGGTCCGCACCGCCTGGGGAGGGTGTCCCCCACGGTGGGAGGAGGCCCCGGCCCAGGAGTGAAGCAGACCCATATTCAAGTCCTGTCTCTGCTCCCAGTGGTTGTGGATTTTGTCAGCTTACTTTAAAAAAAAAAAAAAAAAAAACTCACTGTGCCTCAGTTTCCCCATCTATAAACAGGCCTATAGTTCTCAACTGAGGGTGATTTTACCTCCCAGGGAACACTTGGCAGTCTGTCTGTCATAACTTGGGAGAGTACAACTGGCACCCAGTGAGTGGAAGCCAGGGATGCCCCCGACCATCCGACAGAGGTCAGGACAGCCCCTGACAACAAAGCCGTCTCTGGCCCAAATGTCAATGAGGGCTGAGGCTGAGAAACCCAGGCAGAGTAATTGTGAGAAGTCAATACGATTATTCATGAAAAAAACTTAGACCTCAGCCTGGTAATTTGAAAATATGAACTCAACGAATGTCAGCTCTCATCATTATTAAAGACAGTGTATCCCTGGCTGTTTTTGCTCAGTGGTTAGAGTGTGGGCCTGTGAATCGAAGGGTCTCAGGTTCAATTCCTGGTCAAGGGCATGTACCTGGGTGGGGGTCATACAGGAGGTAACCAATCGATGTGTCTCTCTCACATGGATGTTTCTCTCGCTCTCTCTCTCTCCCTCCTTCTCCTCTCTAAAAATCAATGGAAAAAAATCCTTGGGTGAGGATTAACAACAACAAAAAAGACAGTGTACTGTACACTGCAGGTGCTTAATAAATGTTCCATTTCTTTTCCTTCCCTTGCCTAGCACCAGTGTCTGATTAGCTCGGAGAAGAAGGGAACAGGATAGGGTGGGTCTGAAACAGCACACTCTTCAGACTCCCAGGAGCAACACCTGGCAGCCAACGTGAACCATTTCTCAGCCAGACTAGCAGCTCATGACACCAAGGCAACGCGGGGACAGCCCAGGGGCCCCTGGGGGAGCAGCCACTCTGCAAACACTGCTCCCCGCTCGGACCCCTCCCAGACTGAAGACACCTGGGGCTGACTTCACACTGTTCACTGCTGACAGAGGCCCAGAGGATGGGGTGCATCAGCCCACAGCTCCTGCCTCTGGAGCACCAAATGGGCTTCCTGAAGCTACACAGACAGATGGGGCTGTCAGGAAAGAAGGTTCTAGAACAAAAGCTGGATGAAGTAGGGAAATCCCCAAGGAAGAAGCCGAGCCCATGTGGTACCCATCTCCTGGCTCCCATGGCAACCATGCTTTCCACAGAAGCCCCTGGCTGCTGCGGGAAGATGCAGAGCAAGGCCACCACTTACCTCTTTTAAGGCAGTCATGATTCTGGATCGCAAGATGACAAGGGCACACAGTAGGGCTATGAGCCAGAATGTGAGCATGATCCCTGAGGACTGGACTCCCTTCCTTCTCTCGAGCTGAATCAAAAAGGTAGCAAGCAGCTAGAAAAGAGACACACACAATAGGAGTCGTCAAGAGAAGGCCAGGACCCCAAAGCCCCCCTGGTCCCCAACACCCCCAAAGTCCAGGGGCCTGGCAGACATTAAGCCCGGAGGAGGGCTGCCCTTAGCCCAGGGGTACTGAAACAGCCTGGAGGAGGATTTGGCTTCAGTCCCAGCTCTGCTCTCGCCCTGCTGGGTGACCCTGGGCAAGTTTCCAAACCTCTCTGAGCCTCATGTGCAAAATGGAGTTGATAACACCTAAGATGACCGTGAGAATTTAATGAGATCATGTACAGATCTGGGACAGGAGGGAAAGTTCAGTGTAGAACAGAAATGGGCACTTTTTCTTAAAATATCTACCAGCCAGTCAGTACTTTAGGCTGTGCAGGCCAGAGTGTCTGTCACTACTCAGCATCGCCGCTGCAGTGTGAAAGCGGCCCTGGGTGGCACATGAATGAATGGGCGTGGCTGCATGCCAATGAAACTATTTACAAAAGCAAGCAGCCGGCCCACCCTTGATTTAGAACTGGAGAGACCTGTGTTCAACTTCTCCTTTGGCGACAGTGAACCGTTCTGCACGGAGCAGTGTCCTTTGCCTCGCAGGAAGCATTCACAGGCCCCACCTCCGTGCCTCTGCCTCCCCGAGAGCAGGAACCTCGGTTCGCATTCGAGGAAACGGGTTCCCACTCTGACTGCAGTCACACATCTCGTCTCCAGGGGTTTGCGTTAGAACCATGGTGGTGGGGGTTGGGATTTTTATTTCATTCCTGATACCTGGAGCTCCTGCTTCCATTTTACATGTGATTACTGATCAGGGAAAGAAAATAAACAATAAAATTGCTTTTCCTTGGGGGAAAAAAGGAAACTCCACGGCCTTCCCCCTGAATGGCAGTCTCCCTCTTGAGGCAGACCCCCAAGGCCAGCCATGGACACAAGCCAACTTCTAAGGAGCTACAGGTCACGCACCGCACCACCCCTCATAACCCAGCTACTGGAACCAGAAACATGTCTGTCCGTTTGTCCTCCTCTGTTCCCCATCTCCTTCACTCCCCACATCTAAACCATCAAAAACACACATTGGCTTTGCCCCTAAAGCTAGTCCTCAGTTTACCCACTGCTCACCCTGATCCCGGTCTCCGCCCCCTTCCCCCCCCCCCGCCCCCCCGACCTCCCAGCTTCCACTCCTGCCCAATAATCCGTTCTCCACTTAGAGGCTACCGTCAGCTTTTAAATACGAAAGGCAGGAATATCACATCCTTGCTGAAACGCTTTGTCTTTAGGACCGTGGGTTTAACCTGGGTTCCAAGGACAGGTTGTGGATAGAACCTGGGAGTCCGTGAATGTGGACGGGAAACAATTACAGCTTCATCTTCCCACACAGCACCACCAGTTATAAGTGGAGGTAATAAACTACAATGGCATGAGCAGTACCCTGAACCTGGCACCATCAGAAATCGTATCTGAAAATATACAGTGAAGCTGTCCCAACTTTCTCGTGTGGTCCTCGCTATCTGGAAGTTAAGGAGCATCACACCTGCTGCTAGATCTTGGTTTAAAATACATTAATAGAGAAGCACACATATTTTTTACTTTTTTTTTTTTCTTTTATCTTTTGATAACTGCATTTAAATATAATTGGCTTCCCAGTCTGAATGCCCTGCCACTGAAGAATGAATAAAAAACGGGTTGGTTAAACCATAACATCAAAAACACTCAGCAAGTCAAAAAAAAATCTTTGGATACACTCCACACGGCTGAACTGCAGGTGCTATGAAGTCAGACTCAAGCTGCTCCAGCCTGCATGGTTCCCCACGTGACATTCCGGAAAAGGCAAAGCGACGGGGACAGACGGCATGTGAGCGGCTCCCAGGGAAGGGGCGAAAGCAGAGACCACCAAGGAGCAGCACGGGAGGACTTTGGGGAGTGATGGAACTGCTCTCTTTATTGTGGAAATGGTAGTCACAGATGGTGTATGTTTATCAGTGAAACCCCAAGTAAAAATATAAGTGTACAGCACAAAATCTTCATATATGTATATGTGTGTGTGTCTGTGTGTATGATGGGTTTCCTTGTTTTTAAGAACATTATTCTGAGAAGGAGAACAGACTGGCAAAGGAGAAAGGGATCCATGGCACGAAAGGTTTAGAACCCAGCATTGGGAGTGAAAAACAAAACCAAACCACTTAACCTGAAGCTCGAGTTCCGTAGGGTCAGGCCTAAGCCATCCCAGCTCCCCTCCTCACTTCCTCAACCTCTCCATTCCAGCCCCACAGGCCAACTCTCAATTTCCCCCTCCGACCCCAGGACTTTTGCATGTACTGTTCTCACCAATGGCGGTCCTCTACCCACGGCCCCCTCAACTTTTAACATCCTGCTCACCCTTCAGGCCTTAGCTCCACCATCGCTTCATCCCTACCCTCCAGACCAAACCAAGTTCACCTAACTTCACTGTCCCAGCAATCTGACACAAGCCCATATTTTGTGCCTTTTTTGGGAATCTTTTGTTGAACGTCTATATTTGCTCAGCAGACTGTACACTCCATGAGGATAGGAACTGTGTTGGTTTTATCTTCAACTCCTGGCACATATTGGGAATAAAACACATTTGCTGACCGCCTCGTATCCCGTACTCCTAGAGCCTGTATATTGCGTCCTCGGGTGTGTCTGGAGAATGTTCCTGCAACAGGAACAGGGGGGCTAGTCGTCCTTCACTCTGTCAGGGAGCCCTGAGGAGAGACTGAGGATGTCACAGGCCAGTTCACCTCTTGGCCAGCCGAGCTCAGAGCCCCAGGGGGTATAAAGCCTGGTGACCTTCAGCCCATCACAACTGTGTCCCCAGCATCAAAAAGGCATGAATGAAGAAGCAAAGGCCAGCAAGAGGGAAAGTTAAAGGAATATGAGCTACCCCAGCCCAAACTAGTCCCCTTAACACTCCCCTGCCAAAATGTAGAGCCCAAGACCTCCAGGCCAGTGAAACCGAGTCCTTTATTTCCCCATTCCCTCAACACATTTATGAAGAGCCTACTGTGTGTAAAGCACAGTGCCAGGCTCTGGGGACACACAGGACAGCAAAGCCCTGCGCAAGCAAAAGCCAGGTATTAGCAAAGAGCCCCACAAAGACAGTGGGGCAAACACCAGAGCCAGACAGGCTGCGTGTGAAGCTGGCTCTGCTATTTACTGGCTGTGACCTTGGACCAATTGTGTCTCTTCTTGATGCCTCAACTTGCTTACCTACAAAACGGGGCTAATGAGCAAACATCCTTAAATGAATTACTATGCAAAGGGTTTAGGATTGTGCCTGGCACAGAGCACACACTGTTAATCTGTGCTATAAAGATTCACGGTCCTTCACAATCTGGCCCCAACTTGCTTTTCTTGACCCACTTTCTGTCGCATCCACCGTCAACACCCCGAACTCCCCCACTCCACTGTCTTACTTTAAGAAAGGCTCATCGTCCTCCCCGAGATAATCCCTTTTGGCCTCCAACCCACCCTTGGACATACTGTTGTCCCTGCTCAAAACATCCTGCCCCAAACTAGCTCCCTTCACATTCTACAACACTCAAGGGTCATGATCGCCAAGGACCTTCCAGGCTTTTCAAAGTACCTTGTAGGAATGGCCCTTAATTCAGAGCATGTCACTTGAATGCAAGGGCTAAAGGCAGGGTCTCTGCGTGACCACCCCTTTCTTGACTATGTATTAGCTGTGTGACCGTAAGCAGGGCACATAACCTCTCTGTGCCTTAATCGCCTCACCTTAAAATGGAATACCTATCTCACAGGATTGTTCTGAGAATTAGACATAATAAGTACTTAAAACATGCCAGCCATAATAAAGCAGTTCCCATTTGTACCTCCCACTAAACTGGGGACCCCCATGAGGCAGGGTGGCTTCTTGTTCAGCTTGGGTTCCCACTCCTTGTGCCAGAGCCTAAAAACTCAAGAGGCCATTTGGTCCCAGGCAATTACTGTGAGTGACTGAGCTAGCCAGTCCAAGAACAGAGAACAGTAAGTGCCTTGTAGGATGGCACTCAGCCTCAGGGGCAGGTGGGCAACAGGGCACAGTGGGGACTGTGACAAACTGGACCATGCATGTCCCATTTAAAGGCTGCAGTCACCTCTCAGCTCCGGCCAATTGTTGCCCTAGACGACTACGAGTCGTGGTACCAGACCTTTGAGTTCTTCAAAAGAAGCCAAATTTCTGTATTTTTACTGTGAGAACTGCACGTTTCTAAATGCCAGCCACTGCTTTTGGTCTCCACAGTGCCTGGCAGACAGACAGCTCCTACTTACCATGGTGATGCCCAAGAGGGTTGGGCTGACCAGAAACACCGGGGCTGGGAACTTGCCCCCATTTCTTTCCCAGAAAGAGTAGAAGAGGTCTGCCCAGCAGACAATCCACAGCAAAAATCCCAAGGCCTGGAAGAGAAATACACACGGCTTACAACAGACAGCACTGGAACTTCCCCAGCTCAGCCTCAGGAGGACCAGCCAACCCTACTCTATCAGCTGTGGTGCCTGGACACAGCACATCTCCTCTGGAACATGCACAGTGCTAAGGAGGGCGAGCTACCATCGGAGCCATCTCATGCTGCTCTGTAACCGGTACACCATCCCCTCCAGCGCTCCAGGCATGGCTTAATTAGTCTGGTCACGATTTGCCCTGAAAACTCAAGAGCTCAGTCTAGAACTTATCTGTAGCAGCAACCCCAACAGCTTGCAAAGGTCTCTCTCACAATAACCATTCCTCCAACAGCATTGATCTTCCAAGGTGCCAGTGAACAAAACAGACAAAAGTGCCTGCCTTCATGGAGCTGAGATTCGAGTGGAATGAAAACAGGCAAGTAACAAACTGAAAAATACATAATGCCGGAAATTAATGAGGAAAAATGAAGCAGGTAAGGGGAGGCCTCTCTGATCAGGTGGCATCTGAGTCGAGAGCCAAAGTGAATGATTAAGGGAAAGATCAGGTCGGGAGAACAGCGCACGCAGAGGCACGGGGGTAGGAACACGCTCAGTGGGTTTGAGCCACTGTGGAAAGAGCAATGGGCACAGCAGGTGATGGCCGGAGAGCCAGGAGCCAGGTCAAGCTGAGCCACTGTGAAGACGTCTGGATTTTCTCTGTGGTGAGAAGTTACTGGAAGGTTTTTGAACAAGGCAAGGACAAGAGCTGATTCACATTTTATTTTATTTTTTCAATTTTTATTAATTTATTTTTGTTACAGATGTTTCTCCTTTTTTCCCCTAGAAAACTTCTCCCCACCCCGCCCTCCCAGCCCCCCAGCACTGTTTCTATGTTGGTTATGCATACATGGATATAAGTTCTTTGGTTTATCTCATCCACTCCCCCGCCCCCTTGTCTGAGGTCTGTCAGTCTGAACTGATTCACATTTTAAAGGCAGATATTTTTTCCCAGGAGAAGTACAAAGTGCTCCCAGAGGTCGAAGAGGAAGACATTAGATCTAGCTCAGGTTAGGGAAGTAGATAGCATCTTGAGATAGGCTTGAATTGTGATATGAACAACACAGGTTTGAATGGCGATGTAGGCAAAGGGACAGCGTCAATAAAATCATTCAAGTTTTTCTGTGTACCAAGGGCTTACGGAAATAAGTCCTGGGCAATGTAGCTTTAAAATATTACTGAGGCCCTGGCCAGTTTGGCTCAGCGGTTGGAGCGTCGGCCTGTGGTACAGAGAGACCCGGGTTCGGTTCCCACTAAGGGCACGTGCCTCGGTTGCAGTTTGTCCCCGACCCTGGTTGGTCGTGCGGGTGGCAGCCACTCGATGTGTCCCTTCACATCGATGTTTCTCTCTCTCTCTTCCTCTCTCTCCCTCCCGCTCTATCTGAACAAAAAATGGAAAAATAAAATAAAATAAAATAAAATATTACTGAGAGAGGTATAATTATAAAACTTAAATGATCTACTGAGAGTTTTACTGCATATCTGATGACAGGCAATGGCAAAGCCTCACCAAGTTGCAGGTGCCTGCCTTTCTGACTCCCAGGTCATTTGCCCTACATACTAGCCCTTCCATTTCTGAGGGTCAAATGAGTGCCTCAGAAATTATTTGTCGTATTTCATTTTTTAGCGCAGACTGGGAACACTTGAAAACTCCTAAACGCTTGGATGCCAGGGGTCTTCTGTAGTTTCAGTAAGTGTTTAGCAGAAACTAACTCCATAATAAATGGAATTCATTCCACACATGCTTTGTTCAAGCACACTTAATAAGTAGACTATTTTACAAATGTCTTTTAAACTGTCAATATTTGGATGACGTTTTTGTTTGTTTTAATATAGTCATTTGCTACATCAACCATGGTTTCAGAACTTACCTTTTGAACAAGCTGATTTCAGAATCTGTAAAATGGACTAAGAATCTTGTGTATCAAATTCAGACATGTGAGAATAATGTGTTCATAAAGCATGGATCTCATAAAAAAAACACACACACAAAAAAAACTTACTGAGATACATGCTAAGTCAACAGGAAAAGGTGGAATGAAGAGCGTGATATATACATGCTCTGATATGTCTTCCCCACCAGAAGGCTTATTCTTTTTTTTTTTTAATTTTTTTTCTTTATTGATTTAGAGAGAGAGAGGAAGGAAGAGGGAGAGAGAGAAAGAGACATCAATGAGAGAGAACATCAACTGGCCACCTCCTGCATGCCCCCCACTGGGGATTGGGCCCACAACCTGGGCATGTGCCCTGACTGGGAAGTGAACCGGCGACCTCTTGGTGCATGGGTCTACACTTATTCTTGTGAGGGGAAAAATAGTAACTGAACACTGGAGAAACCAAAAGCTGCTTTGACCAAATGACCAGAATTAATCCCATCAATGAGCTGGTTACCCTGCGGCCTTCAATATAACAGTCTGAGGACATGATGTCCCCTCTAGTAGTTTTCCAGCCAGACAGGCGTCACCTAAATCTAATCACGAGGAGATATTATACAAACCCGAGTTGAGGGCTCACTTAAAACAACTGGCCCACATTCTTCAACTATGTCAACGACATAAAACACAGAGAAAGGAGAAGAGGTCTTCCAGATTAAAGAAAACTAAGGAGACAACATGATTCAATGCAATACATGACCTTGTACTGGATTCTGAACTGGGGAGGAAAATGCTCAAAAGAACAGTATTGGGACAATTGACAAAATTGGAATATAGAAAGATTTTGTTAAAAAAAAAAAGTGTCCAAGTTAAATTTAATAATTGTACTGTGGTTATAAGAGAATATCTGTGCTTCAAGAAAAAATATACTGAAGAATTAAGGGATAAAGAGGCACGGTGGCTGCTACCTATTCTCAAATGATTCAGAAAAAATAAATACAGTAAAACCTCAATACTGCCCAGCCGGTGTGGCTCAGTGGTTGAGCATCAACCCATGCATCAAGAGGTTGCCGGTTTAATTCTCGGTCAAGGCACATGCCCAGGTTGTGGGCCCAATGCCCAGTGGGGGGCATGCAGGAGGCAGCCAATTGATGTTCTCTCTCATTGATGTTTCTATCTCTCTCTCTCCCTCTCCATTCCTCTCTCTCTAAAATCAATAAAGAAAAAAAAAATTTAATAAATAAAATAAATCCAAAGTCCATTAACTCAAGGTCTACAAAATCGAGGGTTTACTGTAATGTGTGTATATGGAGAAAGAAAAAGCGAATGATTAAAAAAAAAAAAAAATGACGAAATGTTATAAATCAGTGACTATGGGTAACAGGTATATAGGGAGAATTCTAGGTATTCTTGCAACTTTTCTGTAGTTTGAAATTATTTCAGAACAAAACTTTTTCTTTTTTACCTTATTTTGTTTTTTTTTAATCATAGTTGACATACATTATATTAGTTTCAGGTGTATAAAATAGTGATTCTACATTTATATACCTTACAATGTGATCACCATGACATGTGTAGTAAACATCTGTCACTAGATAAATATTACTATGTTCCCTGTGCTGTACATTATATCCCATAACTTGTTTTATAACTGGAAGTTTGTATCTCTTATTCCTCTTTATTTTTTTTTTGAAACAATTCTTTATTTTTTAATTACAGTTGATATACATTATAGTTTCAGATGCACAACCGTGATTAGACATTTATATCACTTATGAAGTAATAACCCTGATAAATCTAGTACCCATCTGACACCATACATAGTTATTACTATATAATTGACTATATTCCCTGTGCTGTACTTTATATCCCCACTAACTATTCTGTAACTAATTTGTACTTCTAAATCTCTTCACCTTTTTCACCCAACTCCCAACACCCCTCCCATCTGAAGGTCAAAATGTTTTCTGTATCTATGAGTCTATTCTGTTTTTGTTTGTTTGTTTGTTTGTTTTTCTGATATTTTTTTGTTCAGACAGAGTGGGAGAGAGAGAGAGAGAAACATCGATGTGAAAGGGACACATCAAGTGGTTGCCACCCACACGACCCAACCAGGGCCAGGAACAAACCGCAACCGAGGTATGTGCCCTTAGTAGGAACCGAACCCGGGTCTCTCCAGACTGCAGGTCAACACTCTAACTGCTGAACCAAACTGGCCAGGGCTGCTTTTGTTTTTTAGATTCCACATATAAGTGAAATCATATGGCATTTGTCTTTCTCTGACTTACTTCACTCAGCACAATACCCTCTAGGTCCATCCATGTTGTTGCAGATGGCAAGATTTCCTTCTTCTTTATGGCTGGGTCCTATTCCATTGTACGTAAGTACCACTCTTCTTTATCTATTCATCTACTGATGGACACTTAAATGGCTCCCGCATCATGGCTATTGTAAATAATGCTGCAATGAACATATGGATGTAAATGTCTTTTTGATTTAGTGTTGTGGGTTTCTTTGAATAAATACCCAGAAGTGGAATCGCTGGGTCCTTCGTTATCTCTTGTTATAGTCTGTTTTAAAGTCTATTTTATCTGGTATAAGTATAGCTACTCCAGGTTTTGTTTTGTTTTTTCATTTTCATGAAATATTTTTTTTCTATCCCTTTACTTTCAGTTTATGGGTGTCTTTAGATCCGAAGTGAGTCTCTTGTAGACAACATATGTAAAGGTCTTGTTTTGTTATCCATTCAGCCACCATATGTTTTTTGATTGAAGCATTTAATTTATTTCCATTTAAAGTAATTGTTGATAGATATGTATTTATTGCCATTTACTATTCATACTTTTTATCTTTTTCTTCTTCTTCTTAAAGAAGACCCTTTAACATTTCTTGTAATACAGGTTTGATGGTGATACACTCTGCTTTTCTTTTGGTCTGAGAAGCTCTTATCTATCCTTTGATTCTAAACAATAGCTTTATTGGGTAAGTAAACTTGGTTTTAATTCCTTGCTTTTCATCACTTTGAATATTTTGTGCCAATTGCTTCTGGCCTGAAAAGTCTCTGTTGAGAATCAGCTAACAGTCTTATGGGAGTTCCCTTATCGGTAACTACCTAGTCTTCTCTTGCTGCTTTTAAGGTTCTCTCTTTGTCTTTAACCTTTGTCATTTTAATGATGATGTATCTTGGTGTGGGGCCTCTTTGGGGGACTCTCCGCACTTCCTGGACTTCTGTGTCTTTTTCCTTCACCAGATTAGGGAAGCGTTTTCAGTCATTATTTCTTCAAATAAGTTCTCAATTCCTTGCTCTCTTTCTCTTCATTTTCACCACTTGATGTCCCAGAGGTCCCTTAAACTATCCTCAATTCTTGGAATTCTTTTCTTTTTGGCTGCTCATTTGTTTTGTTTTGTTTTTAATCCTCACCTGAGGACATTTTTTTTGCATTTATCTTTAGACAGAGCAGGAGGGAGAGAAGGAGGAAGAGAGAGAATCATGGATGCGAAAGAGACACATCGACTGGCTGCCACCCACACAACCCCAACCAGGGCTGGGGACAAACTGCAACCTACTTATGTGCCCCTAGTGGGAACCAAACCCGGGACTCTCTGGTCCACAGGGCAATGCTCTAACCGCTGAGCCAAATCAACCAGGGCTCTTTTTTGCTGTTCTGATTGGACGTTTTCTGCTACCTTGTCTTCTAAATGATTGATTTAATCCTCTGCTTCATCTAATCTGCTGTTGACTCCATTCTTCATTTCAGTTACTATATTCTTCTGACTGGTTCTTTTTTATGGTTTTTGTGTCCTTTTTAATGCTGTTGAGGTTCTAAGTTCCTTGAGCATCCTTATAACCATTGTTTTAAACTCTGTAAATTGCTTGACTCCATTTTATTTTCCTTTTTCTGAAGATTTCTCCTATTCTTTCAGGTAAGGCCTTTTTTTTTTTTTTGTCTCTCCATTTTGGCTGTCTGTCTGTGTTTGTTTCTATGTATTAGAGCTGCTATGTGTCCTGGGCTTGGTTGAGTGACCTTCTATAATAGATGTCCTGTAGGGCCTAGGGGCACAGCCTCCCTGGTCACCTGAGCCAGGCATTCCAGATGCAACCCCCTGTGGGCTGTGTGCACCCTCCTGTCGTAGTTGAGCCTTGATTGCTGCTGGCACATCAATGGGAGGAGTTAACCCACAGGCCTATCAGCTGCAAGGAGCAGCCATGACTATAGCAGAGGAGCTGTTGTGTAAGGGCTGACCCCACAGAGCAGAACTTGCTTCAGCAAGGCTCTGGTGCCTGCTGAGTCCACCCCTTGAATGTGTTACTCACACATGGAGGTTGTTGGGTGGTGCTCTGGCGTGGTCTGAAGCTGGCCTCCATATGCACTGGCTCTGGGGTCCCCAGGAAGGCCTCACAGGTCAGCTGCCACCTGTGCCCTATCCAGGTCCACCCAGCATGAGCTACAAAGCAATCTGCAGATTGTGCTGGACTTGGTGTTGCCAGGAAGAGGCCATGTTGCAAATTAAGACCAACTACCACTAGTGCCAGGCCTGAGGTCACTTAGCAAGAGGTACAGTGAGGCCAGACCCTGCTTGTTGGAGGTTTGTGAACCTTTGAGAGAATTCAGGAAAGTTTATAGCATGAGCCAAGATAAGCTGTTTGTATGAAAAAGGTAATGGAAGAGGCTTGGGTGGGACAGGGTCTCAGGGAACCACCAGGGAGGGGTGAACAGTGTTAGCCAGGTTGATGGAGACTGAGATGTGTCAGCTGCCTGCCAGCTCTGTGAGGGGAGGGCTCAGCAAAGAAAACAATGGCCTCAGCTGGTAATTCTGTCTGGGGAAAAGCTGTCCTGCCTGTCCTCACCCTAAAGCCAGAAAATTCAGTTCCCTCCCATATGCGCCAGAAAATTCAGTTCCCTCCCATATGCGCCTGGCAAACTGCTGCCCCAGCCCTCAGAGTGAGTGAATCTAAGTAAGTCCTTGCATGGGCCCTTTAAGAAGTACACCTGGGACTCCAGAAGCCTCCATCTTACACAGCCTCACTCAGCCACAATCCCCACCAGTTTTCACAGACAGAATTTATGGGGATTTCTCTTCCCTGCACTGGAGCCCTGAGCTAGGGGCCCTGGTGTGGGGCTGGGGCCCCTCATTCCTCAGAAGGAACCTCCGCAGCCAAGATATCCCTCCCGAGTTTTAACTACCACACATGGGTGTGGGCTCAGACCATTCTGTGTCTCTGCCCCTCCTACCAGTCTCAACATGGCTTCTGTAAATCCTTAGTTCTAGGACTTCCATTCAGCTACACTTCAGGTGGTTCTGAACGATGGTTGGTCTGTAGTTTAGTTGTAATTTTGATGTGGTTGTGGGAGGTTACCAGTACTACATTTACCTACTCTACCATCTTGACTGGAAGCCAAAAACTTTTTGTGGGGGGGGGTCCAAAGATATTCTTAGGCCTTGGCTGGCATCACTCAGTGGTTAGAGTGTCAACATGTACACCAAAGGGTCGCATGTTCAATTCCCAGTCAAGAGCATGTACCTGGGTTGCAGGTTTGATCCTCAGCCCTAGTCAGGTTGCATGCAGGAGGCAACCAATAGATGTTTCTCTCTCACAACAATGTCTGTCTGTCTGTCTGTCTGTCTGTCTGTCTCTCTCTCTCTCCCTCCTTCCCTCCCTACCTCCCTCCCTCCTCTCTCCCTCCCTTCCAATCTCTCTAAAAATCAATGGAAGAAATATCCTCGGGTGAGAATTAACCAAAAAAAAAAAAAAAAAAGATATCCTTGGTTGACTAGGAAGACCTCCCGATTATCTCCTGACTGCTGAGAGAGCCTATCATTCCCATTGTAATGATGGCAAACTGAGGCACAGAGAGATTGAAATGTGCCTACAATCCTACAGCTACTAAGGGAGAAACAAGAAGTGAACCCATGTCTGAATGCAGAGCCCTAGCCTTATCTACCACATCATTCTTCTGTCTTCTAGAAAAGGAACTCAGGGCCAATGAAGCAGAAGAAACATGTCTGTTTTCACCAACTGCCACGCCCACCCAGGAACACACCCCTCCCATGATGACTTACAGTTTTGGCTTTGTTGAGATGTGTCATCTGAATGTAGCCCCGATCATGGTGGGAGAGATAGAGGAAGTAGAAGGGGAAACTGACCCAGAGGTAAAAACAAGGCACCCACACGAGGACGGTGTTCTGAAAGCACTTGGTGAAGTCGGGATTGCTGGTGTTCCATGTGACGTTCCACTCCTGCGCAAACAAACACAGGCACGGGGTCAATGGGATGTGCCAAAGAGGGAAGGGCCCATGTGGAGTTCAATACTAGCTGTCATGGGATTCAAGAAAACAGACCGAGGCCCTCTCAAGCAGAATATGCAAACCGGAGAGTTCAGTAGCCAGAAAGACTATGAAACAAGGAATCAGGAACAGACAACTCCTGGGAACTGTAGCAGATTCAATTGTACAAAAGATGAAAATGTCCATTTAAAGGAATCTTGAGAGGTATTTTCCCATAAACTGAAGAGTCCTTAAGGCATACAAATCATTCCTACTTCACTATCTTGTGAATTGAGGACTTTCTAATCTTCTTCCTCACTATCACCATTATCACCATCACCATTATCATTATCATCACCATCATGGATCAAACCCAAATTGCAGTTCTTTGTGCTAGGCCCTATTATAAATACTTCATATCTATTATCCCCTTTAATTCTATAAGTACTTTATCCTTCCTTTTTCAAATAGAAAAACTGAGGCACAGAAGGGTTCAGTGGCTTGTCCAGTATCACACGCTGGTAAGATCCGAACTGGAATTCAAACTCAGACAATTTGGTTCAGGAGCCCCTTCATTTAACAACTAGGCTATCCATCACTGAAACAAATTTGTTGTAAATACTTTTATTTTTTTTAAGAAACCGCCTACATTTTGTTAAAGAGATATGCCAGATAAATATACATATATAGATCAAGTATACCTGCCCAAGAATAAACTCCAACCTATTGTTAGACTTCAGTGATGGAGAATTTAATTCAAGTCCTGATCTGACCACTGACCAGTTATACAACTTTGGGGAAACTTATTGCTCTATCTCAGGGTCTTAACCTCCTCTCTCTCCTTCGATTACATCAGATACATTTAGAGATCTGAAACAAGTGGCCCTCAGGCCAATTTGGCACACAGATGGTTGCTGTTGTTTTAAGCATGCTTTAAAAAAAACTAGATTAGCTGCCAACATTTCAAATTGGGATATTTCATATAAAAAATTGGATTTCTGGCTACTCTTTTAAAAAATCAGAAAATCTGGCAGCACTGAGCCCATATTCCTGCTTCACAACCATCAGCAAGAGCTGGGGACTAGCCAGTCTTGAGATAAGGTCCACGTGTTCCAGTTGGCCACAGTCCCCACGCTGCCCACATCTCTCCTCGCCATCTCTGTCCACCAATGGACAACGCTCTCTCCAGATATCTGATTCTAAGCCTTCCCACAGTCAAATAAGTGAGATACCGAAGAACCTGGAGTCTCACGGTTCTGTGCAAGCTGTAAAGGCACATCAACGAATGGGAAGAGACAGTGATGGGAACAAACAGATCATTTCACTTAAAGAAAACATTTGACAATATGATCAAAACATTACGTTCCAAGCATTTCAAAAAAGAAACCCAGTTAACACAACCAAAGCATACACTTAAAAATGCTAAAGATGATTTAAAAATAAAAATCCTGACTTATAAAAGAGAGAGATCTAGGTATTAAACAAGTACCTAAACTGGTTCTTCAGAGGTATAATTGATAAATAATTCTATGATATAAACGGTTATTTTTCCAGAACCAAGAACAAGAAATCAATGAAATGTATACTTTATTATTTTTTTTTATCCTCACCCAAGGACCTTTTTCCATTTCTTGTTCAGATAGAGTGGAAGGGAGAGAGAGAAACATCGACATGAAAGGGACACATCGAGTGGTTGCCACCTGCACCACCCATCCAGGGCTGGGGACAAACTGCAATCAAGGTACGTGCCCTTAGCGGGAACCGAACCCGGGTCTCTCTGGACCACAGTCCAATGCTCTAACCGCTGAGCCAAACCGGCCAGGGCTGAATTGTATACTTTAAATGATTAACACACACATAGGTATTTAGTCAGGAAACTTCTAAACACAAAGAAACCCTTAGGACAAAGATCATGCCTCTATGAACTTGGGCATTTGAAATTTGATCATACAAGTAATTTAAAAAATTATTTTAACTGGTTTCACACCACTTATAATTCTTAAGGTGATGGAGAAAAAGGGATTCAACTGTTGGTGGTTATTATATACAGAACAGTTTCTGAGCAGTTGCCAGGAAAAACTCATTCCAGAGGAATTTGCGCATCTAATAAGAACACAATGTCGGGGCTTAATATAGACAGTTATGTATACAAGAAGCTTGATTCATCGTGTGAAACATTTCGGTAGCCTAATCTTTGCCCCAATTATTCCTTACCTGGACTATTGCAATTAGCATGCTAACCATTATCTGTTTCCAGCCCCTCCTGGCCCCGTGAAGTCCTCCCCACACAGCTAAAGTTATCTTATCTATCCATATATCCATAAGCACTTATAGATTTATCTACCCACCCATTCATAAATTCATCCATCCATCCATCCATCCATCCATCCATCCACCCACCCACCCACCCACTGGTCTATCCACCCATACATCTACCCACCCATCCATGCACCAACTTAATCATCCATCTACCTGTCTATCCCCCACCCTCTCCCCCTACTAAAGCATCCTCCTATCTCCCTATCCATCCACCCATCCATTCATCCATTCACCCACCACACACACACACCCACACACCCATCCATGTCCCTATCTCTTTGTATTTATTTTTACTAGGTAATACTTTTATGTGCTTAACTTTTTTTAACTACGCAAAATGCTATACTGTGAAAAATAAGTCTTCTTCCCTGAACTCAGAGCCCCCCAGCCCACCACAGGTAAAACTACCATCGCTAATATGTTGAGTAGTCTTCTAGACTATCTTCCAAATACAATGTATCTATTTTGTTTCCCCAAAAGGTACCATAATACATACCTGTTCTCTACCTAACTTTTTACTTAACTAATATTAGAAATTGATCTTTACCAGCACCATAGATCTGCCTTATTCTTGATAGCTTAATTTTATATATATATTCTTTAACAAAAGATAGAAGTGATAAGTCATCCTCCCATCCTGGTCCCTAATCCCTCAGTTCCTCTCTCTAGAGGCAACCATTATTGGTTTCTTACATATCCTTCCAGGAAATACCTTATGCATATATAACAAAAATAAATATATGTTTTCTATTATCAAATGGAAGGAAGCATACTCCATATACTGTTCTGTATCTTGCTTTTTTCTTTTAATAATAGGTCTTAAAGATCACCCTGCACTGCACATGAACAGTTTCCTCCTCCTGTGCTGGCTGCTTTATACTCCACTGCGTGATGGACCTGACTTGACTCGCTTAGTCCCCCGCTGCCCAGGCCCTGGGTTGCTCTCACAAGCAGTACAGCAGTGCATAACTAACTGCCAGTGCCCTCACCTTACACATGAACAGGCATATTTGTGAGGTCACTTTTTAGAAGCAAACCTGAAAAAATAAATAAATAAAAGCACTCAGGTTCTCTCGCTCAGAGGAAAATTCACAGACTTAAATACATGTGTTAATATATGGGACAGATTTGATCATCCTTTCTCCTCTGGGTAACAACCTCCAGTGGTTGTTAACCTCGGAGAGTCGATCCTTGCTGTGGTTCATGAGGCCGTCTACATTCAAGCTCCATCTGTTCCTTCTACAATTTCTCCTGCCCTCTTCCCCAGTGTGGCAACTGAGGCATTCACTCAAACAAGCATTTGCAAAGCATGTGTCAGGCATTGCTCAAGGAAATGGAGACTCACGAAGGCCAATTGCCTTCAAGGCATTCCCCAGCTGCTAGTCAAATGAATGGTTCTTTGGCATATCTCTTGCTAGATGCTCTCCCTGCAATGTCTTTCCATCATAACAAACTCCTACTTATCCTTCAAAACCCAACTCAGGTACCTCTTTTAAGAAACCTTCCTCCTCATTCCCCAAACCATCAGATTCCCTCATGCCCCTACCCCCCAACCTCTGCAATGGTTTTCTTACATGTCTGTCAATACTTCTGTCCTGCAAGGATCATGCAAGGACCTCAGTGCCAGGACCACGTTGCATTCACCTTTGACCTCTATCCTCCTTACCCAGCAGGTCCCCAGAGGTTATTAAGTAAACAAATAGCCCAAACCATGCCTTCCCTCCCTAGCATTATTTCCTACTTTACTTTTTAAATAAATAACAATCCGCCCAGCTGGTGTGGCTAAGTTGATTGAGCGTTGTCCCATGCACCAGCAGGTCACTGGTTTGATTCCCGGTCAGGGCACATGCCTGGGTTGTGAGCTTAATCCCTGTAGGGGGTGAGCAGGAGGCAGCCGATTGATGTTTCTACCACTCTGTCCCTCTCCCTTCCACTCTCTGAAATCAATAAAAATGCATTTAAAAAGTAAAAATAAATAACAATCCATCCAAGTATAATCTGGCACTGATCCCTGGCTTTCTGGTCAAGTGGATATGGATTAAAATTTAGGCCCTAACCTGTGTGAACCTGGGCAGGACACTTAACTTTAAGTAGCAGATACAAATAATAATAATCGCCACTGCTACCACCAGTGCTGCCCAGGGTCAGGAAGCTTAAAGGGCAGAGCTGAGGTTGAAAAGCAAGCGAGAGGAAACCGGGGGCATCGAAGGACACGGGCTCCGGAAGGACGGGTCAGAGAAACCTTAGCAAAGGAAGGCGTTTCCTCTGGAGGGCAGCTTCCTGCGCAGAGCCAGATGGCCCGATGGCCGTCCCTGACCCAGAGGGTGGGGGTGGAGGGAGGAGGAAGGAGGGGGAGCGTGAAAAGGGGAACAGGACTGTGGACGTGAACTTTCACTGCTGCAGAATGCAGCCAACGCAGGCCATGCAGCCAACGCAGGCCATCCCGCCCCCAGCCCGGCTCCTACCCCAGCCGACAGTGGCCCTGACCACAGCTGTCACAGGAGTGAAGATAAAAGTGGAGGACCTCCTGCATGCCCCTCGCTGGCTGGACACCAGCAGTGTGGTCCCCTCTGTTTGGAGTTTCCGAGGAAAACTGCAAACGCTGAAGACCATGGTGAGGTGTAAGGAGGGTTCACGGAGTCTGCCGTTCACTC